TATTGAAAAAGCAACCTCAACGTCTCATTTCCTTAAAAAAAAAAAACCATTCATGTTTCCCCTCCTTTTTATTTCCTATCATTTGCACGGATTGCAATATAAATATAATTAACTACCAGTTTGCTTTCTTCACTTAACATGATTTCATAACCCTTTTCCTTCTCTGTCTCATTTTGTTCTTAATGAGTATCTGTATTATCTTCACTGACTCCTTTAAAGGATTGACATTAGCGATACAGCTTAGAAGGCTTAGCCTTATGTTTCTTATGCCACGAGGCATAAAAGAGTCATTATGTCTTAGTAGCCAAAGGACAGAATCGTATTTGTTATTTTTCAAAGCTACTCTTTTAAAATTCTTCTGATTTGAGAACAGTAACCACAATGACTTAAGAATTCACTTATATTGTATAAATCAATCAAGAAGCTGAAAACCCTGCTGGTTTGACATGCAAGAAATCTTTGTATTTAAACATCCTAAACTACTATTTTTAATTTTAAATGATGATACTGTCTCTCTTATTACTTATTGGTGTGTTTGTTGGTATGTACTTATTCCCAGCAAAGGCCATGATCATTTCTTAGAATTAATTTTTCCCTACCAGCTTTATAACACTGAACAGGTTTTAAATGTACTACTTAGCAAATTAATAGAAGGTCAAACCACTGGAATTTAGAAAATAAAAGAAACTTGGTTACATAACTCCAGAACAATTTTTAAAGCTGATGTACACTTTCTACATTCTTAGCTGATGTTTAACATTTGTTATTATAAGGTTAAATAATTACAAGTTCAATTTCTGACAAAAGCTGAAAATACAATTTGGTAAAAATGGAAATTTAAAACTAAAGTGATACATCACTTTTAAATATATCCATTGAAATCTACACACCTCATAGATATGATATTTATTACCTATTTTTTAAAAATGAGAAGCTCTGCCTTCATTTTTGAGAATTTTACATTGTTTTTCTTTTGACTTGAATTTATGTTAATCCATTTTCCATTATAGAATTTTATTCTAATGTAATGTATTTATGAAAATTTTGACACTTGGTGTATTTTTGGATAAATATTATGTAGTTTAGTGCTGTGGTCAACAGTAGAGAATATACAGCTAAACTTCTGGAGTTCAAGTTTCGCCCGTTGAAAGCTGAGAGACATTGGGAAATTTATTTAACAATTCCGTGCCTAAGTTCCCTCAATTATAAAAGTGGGAGAAATATTACCTATCCTGTAGAGTTTTTATGAGGACTAAATGAGGTCACATATATAAATAACTTAGACGAAAGCCTGGAATGCAATACACACTATCCTGTTATTGTTAGACTGAGACAGAGTTCAACCACCATTTTGTGCCTTTTTTTTATGGATTTCAGTGCTTATAAACCTTGTTCACATAAAGAGGAAGATGATAACGAGAGTATTTTTGGTATATATTGTCCCTCAGATTTCCAAGTTACACGCAAAAACAATATCACATAGTGGTCTGTCATCAAAACCTTTTTAAAATATAAGGATTAACAACTTGATGGAATCCTCTTTCAGTTTTCTTGAAAATAAATAATTGGAATTACCCATCTTTCAAAATGTTTCTTGAACTGAAGTCATTTGCTGTCTCAATTTCTGGAAAGTGTGCCACCAAAGGCTTTCCTAGATGTATCGAAGAGCTCTAGACTCTTCTTCTTCCACTTAGAGTCTGCAAATTTAACTCTATTCTCAGAAAAGGGTTGGGAAGATAAAAGTATTAGATACATTTCCTGCTACATCTTGGGAAATAAAATATTTGATCAGCTTTATTATAATAACGTTTACATAGAATAAGATTCACTAATTTTAAATGTACAGTTCTGTGAATTTTGACAAGTGTACAAAGTTGTGGATCTACCACCAAAGTTATGATATAGAACATTTCTGTCACTCCCAAATGGTGTGTCATGTCTTTTTGCTGTAATTGCCTCCCCAGATGCTGGAGGCCTGATTGGCTTTTTGTCACCATTTTACTTCTGGTTACCTTGAGTAAATACCTAGGAGGGAGACTACTGGGTTTCATGGTCAGTGTATGTTTATAAGAAGCTGCAACATGTTTTTGAAAGTGGTTGTACCACTTAGCAATCTGCATTCTTGTGAACACTTATTATTATCAGCACTTTTTTCTTTTTAGTAATTTTATTGAGCATGCAGTGGTACCTTATTGTGGCTTTAATTTGGATTTATCTAATATTAAGTCATGTTGAGTATCTCCTCATGAATGTACCTCCCATTGCCATGTGCTTGTTTGCTTTTAGTACCATTTTTTGTGAAGTGTCTATTCAAATTCTTCTGCTCATTTTTCAGTTGGGTTCCTTGACTTCTTATTATTGAGTTTCAAGAGTTCTTTATGTATTTTAGGTCAATTATTTTATAATGTGCTTTCGTATGTTTTAAATATATTTTTTAAACCTTAGAGCTGTAGATTGAGCTCATGTAATTTATAAGAAATGTCTTTTATATTTCTTCATTAGCAGAGAAACCAGTCAATTACAAAAGATTTTTTTGTCAGAAAAAAATTGTTTTACTTCTCTTTTCAATCTTAACAATATATCAACATGGGCCTCTGTGTTGACCATTTCACATCTGAATTCCAACTTAACATAGACAGATAAGGCTCAAACATTTGTCCTAGTTTGGTATCTCTTGGAGGAAAAAAACCCCTGTGTCCTTTTTCAATGTCTCTAGCCAATGCTCCTTTGTTTGCTCTTGCAGTATTACTCTCAAAGGTGATGGCTTTTGTGGTTAAATATTGGGATGGAAGTGCTGGCATGTTAATGGAAAATTGTCTTCACTCCTAGACCACTTTATAGTATTTATATATTCAAAATGTTTGAACACAAGCCCCAATACTTCATTTCTAAATCATGAAATACATTCCTATACAAATATTCCAGCACGGGCCCAAATACTTCCTTTCTAAGTCATTGAGTACGTATCTATACAATTGGGAAAAATAAGCTTTTCTCAGGTATCAATATTTTGAATTGTGTGCTTGGTGTTAAAAAAAATGTTCCTACCCTTGACCAATGTACCATAGTAAGATTAGGCCTGAGAATAAGGCCTAGCCGTGAAAGAGGAGGTGGAAATGGAGAACCCAGGACAACTCAAACACTGGGCATTTCAGGCAGGGCAGTTTCGGGAAGGCATACATCTGGAAGTTGAAGAAATGGAAACTTACTCCCTGTCTATGCCTGCATACCCTTTGAACAACTGCATGAACCCCCAGAGGTAACCATACCGCAGTTTGAAGTTTGCAATTTGAAGACTGTTGTTCTAAACTTATGTGGTTTTTGAAAAGGTGAAGGATTGAGAAGCAATGGGATACCAAATATTCCAAGGAGATAAATTGTTTCCTGCTGGAAGAGAATGAGAGTTTCCTAGATGGAAAAGAGACTGATGTCTTTGAGGAGGAGTCAAATGAGGTTGATAACCTGAATTTCTTCAAGTCTCATTTATGAGAGATTTTAATGTAAGAGCTCCATAATTCTTTGTGTATGTGTATATTATATATATGACATATATATAATATATACATATATTATCTACCACCATTTTGTAGGAGGTGAAAGCTTTATTTATAAGTTCATGAAATACTTTTATTATTTTAAATAGGCTATCATTGTGTATGTATATATATACACACACGTATATATATGTATATACATCACCATTTTGTAGAAGATGGTGACTTCATATGTAAGTTCATAAAATACTTTCATTATTATTTTAAATCAGCTATCACTGTCAAACTATTTTTAAGAGTCTTTAATTAACGTTCCCCCGTATGATTTCTGGAGGAAAATCCCAGTCAGTATCAGTGGGAGACCGAATTACAAGAGTGTTTAATTAAGAGTTTCTTTCAGGCACTTTTCAAAGAACAATTTAATATCTGAGAAACTCCACCTTATTTGTATCTCTAGAACTGAGCAGTGAGAAAATCTTGACACAAGTCACAAAGATTCAACTAGACCAAACATTACAAAAATCATTTTCATTTATTTAAGCCTTTAAAATAAAATATTCATTTAATATGATACTCACAGAGGCAATAAAATACATAATTTAATCGACTTTTCAAATTCGTTTAAAAATAGAGAGCTATCGTTTTAGAAAGCTCAGCTATTTTTCTTCCCACTAGCACGGTAGGGAAAAAGACACAAGTCACAAGATACCGCATCATGTAAGAAAGCCAAGTTCTGTCTCGTTCACCTGTCTGGATCAACAGGGAGGAGAAACCTGCTTGCTGCAGTTGCTGGCATCTGGGCCCTTGATTTTGGGTATGTTGAAATTACAATATGAGTTCTCAGGGTCCCTTCAGTGCACCTGTCTATTTTCTGATGGGAGGAGAAATATGTAGGAGGTACTTAGCCGCTAGGCTGAAAATCTTCCTTTCCACCATTGGGAGCATACTCTTTGACACTCTCTAAGAAGGAAATCTGTACCCCCTCTCCTCCACTATCTCTTAAAATTATTTAGTCCATTTTGTATTTGTCTAATGATGGAAAAATATGAAGTACTTATTCAACTGTAAATGGAAACCTAGTAGAAAAAGATAAATGCTATGAATTTTAAAAGCAGAATCCCTCATCCCTCTACTGGAAGAGCTAAGTTGAGTTCCTGTGTCCATAATGCATGGGTGCGCCAGCAGGATCTGAACTCAGAACATGCAAATGCAAAAAGCCCTTTCAGCCAAAACACTTGAAATGGACTCTATGAGGCAGTGAAAATATCCAACGCAAAACAGAACAAAACCACTAAGGACCGAGTGGTTAAGATTGTGTACTCTGATTGCTGCAGAAAGAGGGAAAGGAAATTAAATTCGATCTCATAATTGAAAGCTCAACACTTAACAAGTTATTTTCCGCTTGGCAACCAGAAACCCCTGCTGCCATATATCAGATGCTCGTGGCTTCCCTTGGCTACACCTACTTACGGCATCCAAACAACGTGCCTGGCTGGTGGGGCCCTTCTGACTTTAGGGCCCTGGGACATGTTCTCTGTTTCAAATACTGTTTAATACTCATTTCCTGATCACTCCCAGACTTGATTCTTCTTATGCTACTTACTCCTGCACATCTAATTGGCTCTAATTAAGCATTTCAACCGGGTTTCTGTTACTTGTGTTTTCTATGTATTTTATATTATCACCCATTGAATTAATTCCTCCAGTAGAGTCATGCTGTTTCTCCCAATACTTCTGTCTTTGCGCCTCCTGCCACCTCCCTGACCATGTTGCTTACTGTGGGTGATCACTGTGAACGGAATAGTTGTCATATTAGCTATGTGGACCCGCTGCACACAGGAAAACCTTGAGGAAGTCCCTCTTCCAGGTTTGAAGAGCTCTTTGCCAAATCCAAACCACTTGAAAGAATTGTGTTTTTCCTTGAAAGATCTAGTGGGTATCACTGGACCCCTGAGGTAGAGCAACAGATGTGCAATATTCCTGCTAAGAGCCTGCATCCAATATGGTTATTGAATTCTACTTTGTAATAATTTCCTCTCAGTTCTGCTTTTGGACTGTCCCTGGAGAAGGCAATTTTTTAAAAATACAGAAGTCAGATATTTGCCCGTGTTATATTACATAGTTATATAACATAGTTATATAAATAAATGGGTTGCAAAGCTTTCAAAATAATGATTAAAATGTCAGTGAAAGATGTTCGTGTCAATTTTTATAATCATAAACACTGAAGAAAATCTTGACCACTATAATAATAATAATAATTCATTACATCTACTTTAACATACAGAAAGTCAGGTCCTCATCTCTGGGCTAGGAGGTTCTGCGTAAGAATTCAGTTTTGGTGTGACGAAGTTCTCATTCTCAGTGTTCCCTATGTCAGGTTTAGCTTGAGAATATTATGGGGGAATATTTCAATGACAATGTATCTATATGAGTATACATACATATATAAAACATATGTATATATATATGAAGCAATATTTGTCCCATTAAAGAATTGGGCCACCAGTCACTTGGTACTGAAACCAATACATGAATTCAAATGAAATTCAGATTTCCACTTTAACTCTTTTCTGCCAACTGTCCTACCAAAACAAATAATTAAATATAGTTATGGTTTAAGAATGTAATTTAGAACTCGTCTCTTTTGTCCACTTGATGTCTACTTTTCATCAGGTTTAAATCCTCCATTTATCTTATAAAACGATGACTCCGGCTCCGTTTCATTTTCTTTGCTCTTTGGAATTTCTGCCTTGTTTTTTCCATGACATTTCTTGTACGCCACATAAACTAGAAAACAATACACAGGTGGTTAAGTAAATTTTATAATAATAAACTACAAAATTACTTTGCATAGAGATTCTAACCTATGATTCACATGGCAGATCACATTTTCTGTAGACTGGAGGCTGCTTAGAGAAAGAAATCACCATTCTTAGTTCCATGGTTACTCATGGCGAGAGGGATGACTGCACTTCAGGAAGACCTAGCGTAAATCTTTATGAGACATTTGCTCAGGGCAGCCACAAGCCTTCTTCGGGCATTCAGCACTGCACGTGGTACTCGACAATGATGAGAACAATAGCGAGGATTTATTGTGTACCACCATATCCCAGTTAATGTGCTAGTTCTTAATAAATATACACATGGTGCAGTGCAACCTCTGGGATCTTGGTTCGATGGTCTGCTGTAGAAGGACTTGAACTAGAACAACATTCCAGTTCCCTCCCTGCCTTCATTCAATCTTCATTCCCGGAGAGAAGAGACTCGGCTGATGGGTGATCAGCCTTCGTCTTTTCTGTTTAGCTGCTGGTCTCTGGTAGCAAGCATTTCTCGGCTTATTTTTAAGGTCAGCTCATCAGGGTAGGTTCTGCCCTGCGAGGCAAGACCTGCGGTGTCTATGTATGTGTGAGTACGTGTCTGCACATGTGTGAGGCAGTGGAGGAAAGGGTGGTTTCAACAAGCCCATTTGGTTGCAGATTCAAGTCATGTTTTTCAATTAAGTTTTATCCATAGTGAAAGGGCTATTTTGTTATCTGAATATCTGATTTTTCTTCTACTTCTCAATGGGTCACAAAGGCAAGAGGAGGACAGAAAATACTACTTATAGGGTCCCTCAAATTCTAATGCCTCACATATAAAATGGCCATAATAATATTATCTACCTCATAGGGCAATTGTAAACATTAAGTGAGATAAAATTAAATGCCTAGCATGGTCTGTGAAGAATAGTAAATGCTCAATAAATGTTAACTTTCATTATGATACACAGCCGAGAGAGACAATGACTTGCTTCAAAGATCTTATTAACCCAAGATCAATATCTCCTTTAGATTGGTCCCTGAACTTCTAGTAATATATTATTTTCGAAGCCACTGAACCACACTATTGAATTTAATTGAGCTTGTGGTCAATTTGAAGATCTGCCACTTATTATAAACTGTTTTGAGCTGAGAGTCCTTCAGCTTAAACTTATGCCAATGATTTCATTTAACCAAACTATACTTCTTATTTATCCATTTTTCTTTCCCCCCTTCTCTCCCTGCCTTCCTCCCTCCTTCCCTCCCTCCTTCCCTCCCCCATCCTTCCTTTTTTCCCTTTTCTTTTTTTCCTCTCCTTTATCCAAAAAATATTTAGATTCCTAGTCTTATCACCAAAATATGTTTCCAGGCATTGTATACACTTAACAAAGATTCCGTCCTTATTTTTATACTTACTAATATAACTGTGGGAAATTTCAAGACCAAGTTGAGTGCTCCCTTTTCCTCATTCCTTCAACTTGATTTTTTATTAATCAATCTCTTTGGGGTTAGTTTTCAACTAGTGCATTTACTTAATTGTTCTACCAACCAGTCCACTTTCTCTGGCTTATCTACTGATACCATTAAGTAATTATTTGGAAAAATCCCACTGTGTGCCAAATTAGCAGAGCTCTGTACAAACAAGGTTATTATACAGAAAACAAGGTAATTAGGCCTGGACTCCTGCTTCCTGGAGTAGCGATAAATCTGTGGAATATTTTCAGTGGATCCAGAGTGTTCTATTCTAGAAAGGAAGCCTTTGCTTTGAGAATGACATTCAAGACAGTAGTGCAGAGGAGATCCGCATCCGAGGGCAGGCTGAAGAGCTGATGAAGTTAAGTAGAAAAGTAAAGCAAAACCATATTTTTAGTAGAGACAGGGTTTCACCATGTTAGCCAGGATAATCTTGATCTCCTGACCTCCCGATCCACCCGCCTCGGATCCCCGTCTCTACTAAAAATACAAACACAAAATTAGCCGGGCGTGGTGGCGGGTGCCTGTAGTCCTAGCTACTCGGGAGGCTGAAGTGGGAGAATGAGGTGCGTGAACCTGCTAGGCGGAGGTTGCAGTGAGCCAAGATCTTCAAAGAAGATCATTATGAAATGATGCAGTCCACTGCACTCCAGCCTGGGTGACGGAACAAGACTCCATCTCAAAAAAAAAAAAAAAAAAAAAGGTAAGGTAAAGCAAAACCAAACAAAACCAAACTGTATCTCTGGACATTTAGTGACTTAACATTTACATTAGTTTTGTTGTGTGCCTTCACTTTATATTCCCCATTAAAATGTCATGAGGCTTTAAAAACTAGCTTTTTAATAAAAAAAAATAGAATGTAAAAATAGAGGTTAGATATTATCAGCCCTTGGAAAGGAAAATGTAGAAAGAATTTTCAACTAGGTGAAGGCCAGTGGGTGGTGGGACCTGATGGGAGATGCTGGGAGCTTCATGTCACAGGACAGGAGAAGTAAGAATTACTTAAACTACACCTAGTACTTTACATGAAGAATATTTTTGCTTCAACCACTTCAATTATATGGGTATTTAAAATATATATATATGTGTGTGTGTGTGTGTGTGTGTGTGTATACACATATGCACACACACACATCTGCCTTGTAAGTTAGCCTGTTAAATTTTCTTTGTGTACCAGTTTTCTGATAAATATCCTATATTTATAAAGCATATCAAGACAATGTTTTGAAAAAGATCCCAAATCCTGAGTTCCTGGGCGAATGCCGGAAGGCGCACAGTAAAATGGTCTGGACAGGTTCCTCTGCCTTCCTAATAGGAAAAGAAAGTCAATGGAGAGAATTGACCTCCATTACTTTTCACTTAAAAATAATCTTTGCTAGAATCTTTTGGTAAAACTACCATCTTTTCATCAGCAATTGGAAAGTCATGATAACATGACGGTGGCTTTTTCCTCTCATGTGTTTGTACAGTTCACCACCAGCAACGGGGAGGTTTTTAAAAATGTTGTTTTAGCAACTCCAGGATTTTTCAAAGATCATCATAAAAAGGGATTGGCATGATTCCTTACATCCTAAGAATATGGCGGCAAAGGCGAGCTGGAAAATGCTGTAGATGAGCGGGAAGGTGAATACGATATTGAGCTCCTCAGGAGTGAAGGAGAGCTGAACGATGGTGGAACATAGCTGCGTGTTCTGCATCCCCGTTTCAAAAGCAACCGTTCGGCACCTAAAGAAGATGTTAAGAGAGCATATGTTTTAGCTGTTGTTTTGTTATTGTGAAACATTACAAGCAGATATAATAATAAGTACATACATGTGCATCTTGTCCCTGCTTTTAATGCATATATTTAAGATAGGCTTATTCAATATATGACTTTCTATGGAATAAATCTAATACTTATTAAGGTATATTATACATCATATCACCTATTGTATATAATATACATAAATATATTTAATATGTACATATGAAGAGTTGGCTCATTTACCACAGTGTTCGGTAAGTGGCCAAGAGGATTCATTTCACCCTTTTCAATTATGATTTCGGTAACAGTGTAGGGCACAGGGCAGCAGCTCAGAAAATGCTCAAGATACGGTATTTGTTGTTGCTGTTTTATTGTTTAATTTGTTTTGTTTAGGCTGGGCTAAACAGGTGGCTCACACCAGTAATCCCAGCACTTTGGGAGGCTGAAGTGGGAGGATTTCTTGAGGCCAACTGTTCAGGAGTTCAAGATCACCCTGGGCCGCATAATGAGACCCTGTTTCTAAAAAAACAAGACAAAACAAAAAAAATTAGCCAGGCAAGGTGGTGTGCACCTGTAGTCCCAGCTTCTCCGGAGGCTGAGGCAGGAGAATCACTTGAGCTGAGGCTTCAGGGAGCTATGATTGTGTCACTGGACTCATCCTGAGTGACAGAGTGAGACCCTGTCTCAAAAAAAAAAAGTTTAAATCTTGACAAAAAGTCTATAAGGTAGAAATTATTGTCCCCACTCTACAGATGATAAAACTCAGAGAGAGTGCTGGGCCTGAGGTCCCCCGGGTGGTGTGTGGTAGGATTGGAAGGCAAGTCCAGGTCTGCCTGACTCAAACACTGAGCCCTTCTCGCTGCCCGTTGCCACTCCTCTCTTTCCCAACTTCATACGTGCATCTGTCCCTACACCTGTGTTCTCTCTGCCTGTGGATTCGATGGATTAGTCAAAAAGAATTGTTTTTGCCCAGTGTCAAATCCAGAAGTGCAAAACCCTTTCTAATATTTGGCGCCTTTGGAGGATGAGCTCACCCTGCTGCCAGCTGGAGGAACGCTTGTCTATTCCAGGGCAGCCCAACTGCTTTCATTAATGTCACTCCACTCAGAGAATAAGAATGCTTAGCAGTGGAAGAGCCCCATCTGCACGGAAAGTGGAATGGTCTAGAATACTTTGACCAAAAAAGAGGCAGTCAGTATTTTCTTTCTGGGGACTTGCATGACTTCGGAATGAATGGGCCTATTTAGAATGACATATTCAGAAATAGGATGAATGTGATTGATGAAAGGCTAAGGATTTTGATCCTGTCTTCAGTGTTTGCAGCTGTTTTGGGATGATTATGTCTCCTTCTCCACCAAATTCATATGTTGAAGTCCTAACACTCCGCACCTCAGGATGTGACCTTATGTGGAAACAGGGCCATTGCAGATATAATTAGTAAAGATGAGTTCATTAGAGGGGGCCCTCATCCAATGACCGGTGTCCTTATCAAAAAGGGAGTCTGGCCACAGAGATGTGCACTGAGGGAAGACACAGGAAGAAGACGGCTGTCTGCAAGCCACGAGGGAGGCCAATAAGGGATCTCTCCATCATAACCCTCAGAAAGAATCAATCCAGTGACACCTTCATTTTCACTTCTAGTCTCTGAAGCTGCGAGACAGTAACAGTCTGTTGTTTAAGTCATTCAGTTTGTGGTTCTGTCTTATGGCAACTCTAGCAAAGGAATACAACAGCTATTACAGATTAAAATTCCCAATGTGGTTTACTAAAGTGCCATACCTGTGCCAGGGTAGACCAGCGATTCTAGCTAGAAGAAACCCCAGGGAGTAACCTGCCACAGGAAATATTGTCCCTATAATCCACAATTTGGGAGCGATGATCCAGGCGCTTTGGTACAATATTCCTCCAACCACAGCTATGAGCACAATAAGGATGGCGCCCGCAATGGACCCAACCTGAAAAAAAGGGAGCAAGTGAACCCAGCAATCATGAGTCAGAGCAAATCCAAGTATGCTTGTCAGAGACGAAACCTCAGCAGTCTCCTTGCCCTTGGGGAAAGTGATGGTAAAATTGTCTTTCTGTGTGCTTCTAGCCGGGAGGCTGCAATCAGGCCACTGGAAATCCTGGTGCTTGTCCCATGTTTTAAGCTTTAATTACACAACAGGACAAGTAGCATCCATTTGCAATTAGCCTGAATATTTTCTGGCCTGCAAATTATCCTTGTCAGAACAAAAAGACAGCCCATTTCAATGAGAACCTGGAAGACTTGGCCTCCGGATTCAACTACTCCTATTCTGTTTCCTTCAGTAAATCACGAACTTTCTGAACTGTAGTTTCTTCATTTGTAATTGGGGATAAAATCTCGCCCCAGCTTCCTTTTATGATTGTTATGATAATGAGAAAATGGGTATAGAACTCTATACAACTTTAAAAAAGGTATAAGCAAATGAAAACCACTGTTGCTAATTTTTTTTCTCCTTTTCACATTTAAAACAAAATTTGGAGATTATAAACATATGTTTTGTCAAGAAAAGTAAGGAATACTATGGACTTACTTTGCCCCCTGAGCAGCAGAATCTATCTATATTATCTACAACTACATCCAGATCATCTAGCTAGAATATAGTTAGTGAAGGGGAGTGAATAGTTACTATATAAATAGCATTTACTGATTGCCAGCAATGAAATGGCCATACGGACACAGACATATTTTCTAAGAAAGCCATTTAGATATATTGTATAACACAAATTCACATAACAGAGATAACAGTAATATGTGGTGAGGACAGAATAGAATAAAATCAGGAGGTGATAGTTCAGTTGAGTGTCTTAAAGAATGGGTAGAAATTTTTCCTGTGACTGCAATAAAGAAGGGCATGCTAGGCTGGGTACAGTGTCTCATACCTGTAATCCCAGCACTTTGGGAGGATCACTTGAGCACAGGAGTTCAAGAACAGCATTAGCAACACAGTGAGATCCCAGCTCTCTCCTCTACACACATATAAAGAAGGGCATTCTAAAAGAGAAGACTGCATGGCTGATGACTTCAGGCCTCCACTCAACAGTAATCATATAATGAGAATAAAAGCATTTCATGGATGGAAAACCCTATCGTTTTGATTGTCATGGTGGAACACTTAACGGTGTGAACTGGGATACTTACTTTAAGTATGATCTTTGCTTTTTGGGGCCATTTGTGATTAACAAACATTCCAATGGAAACAGGAACAACAAGAGCAACCAGAGACGTACCTAAAGATAACAGAAGGGCAATGTCATCAGCAGAACAGGTGACACAGGAAAGAGAAACACAGAAGAACAAACGGCCTGAAGAAGGCTTAAGTAGTATTTCAGTCTTCTTTCTTGAATACACAAAACAGTATACAGAATTACACACACACACACACACATGCACACACACACACACTCACTCTACTTCTTCACCCACTCCAGTAAATAATTTAATATTATTGGTAGATAAATGATCATATCAATGCTATAAATTCTTTCACTAAATTCTGCATTAATTTTTTAGAGTTTCTTATATTGCCAGTATATGTTAGTTTCAGTTTGTCAGAGTCTTGACTTCTTTAGTCTTTGGATCTTTATAGTTCTAGGAAGAATAGCTCACCAAGGTTTGTGTGTGTGTGTGTGTGTGTGTGTGTGTGTGTGTATGGCATACAAAGATGATATTTTACATGTGTTTGCTAGTTCATGGTAGTAGAAATAAAAAATAAATTTAGAATATTGTAAAATGAAAGAAAATGTCCAAAATTAGCTCAAGATCACCAGGTAGTCTGACATCTCATGACTTCTGGTTAAAACTAGCTTTAGTTATTCAAATTTACAGCAGAGAGGTGAGAATATAAGTTGAGAAAGCATGCTTTGAATTTTCCATGAGATAATATATTTGACGACCTCTCATGTAATTATAGTTCTTTGCAGTAACATGCTCATCCGGCCAGATAAAAGAGTCATACTTCAATTTCACTATGTTAAATTTACTGCTGTTCTTGCATCATATGGTTTGTTTCTCCATGTTATTTAACACTCATTTGTCCAATAGCTGATTTCATATAATTTAGCACCAACAACTTCTAACTTTTCATAGGTTGTTTCTTTTTCAAACATCCTTTTAAAGCAGTATAAGAAAGTGATATTGAACGGTGACATTCTGAGAGTGGATGTTGCATAGTATTGATTGAACTAGGTAGAGTGAGCTAGGACTGGCAAACAGATTCTAGAATCCAAGGCAATAGATATTAATTTAAAGTGAATGCAATAATGATGAAAACATAATTTCCTTGTAGTCTTCTAGCCCTCCTGGCAATATAAGGGTCAGTGATGACTTTTGCACAGAAATTAGTCGGCAGAATTAAATAATGACTAAGGGTACTTAGAGTAGGAAAAAAGATAAGTGCGGGGGAGTAAGGAGGGAATAATGGAAAAAAGGATGTGAAAGAGAGGCGTTGACACAGGCACTGCTGAGATGCCCCAGAAAACCCCCTCTTGGGTATCCTTGCATCCTGCTGTTTTGGGAGTGATATGGTTTGGCTCTCTGTCCCCACCCATATCTCATGTTGAATTATAATCCCCAGTTGGACGATTACAACTAGAGGAGGGGTCTGTTGGAGGAGGGGCCTGGTGGGAGGTGATTGAATTGTGGGGGCAAACTTCCCCCTTATTGTTCTTGTGATAGTGAGTTCTCATGTGATCTGGTTGTCTATAAGTGTGCACACATCCCTCTTTACTCTCTTTCTCCTGCTCCAGCCATGTAGAAGGTGCCTGCTTCCCCTTCACCTTCTGCCACGATTGTAAGTTTCCTGAGGCCTCCCCTGCCGTGCTTCCTGTACAGTCTGTGAAACTGTGAGCCAACTAAACTTCTTTTCTTTATAAATTACCCAGTCTCAGATAATTCTTTATAGCAGTAAGAGGACAGGTGAATACAAGGAGGAAACGCCCTGTCCTGGGTCTTTAGACCATTGCCTAAATTTTTGAAGTTTGTAGGTCTTAAAACCATCTGAATATATGACTTGTTTGTGATGTGGTAGCTTAAATCTAGGTGCAAGTCCTGTGCTTGGAATGTTAGTGTGGTTAGGTTTTCGTCCTATATTTTAATGTGCTGATTCTGTTTGGCCCCTCCTGCTAAGAGTCTTCATCTCTTTGAGGCAACCCAAGCCAATGGGATAACACACAAGCAGCACCACCTGCCAAAATCCATGGCAGAATTGCTTTTCCTTTGCTGACCAGATGAGGTCAGGTGAAGTTTTTCAGGGACCTGGGGTTGACTGGTAAAGGGACTCTGTTTTTCTTTACACCCACAGTGTGTGGCTCCTGCTTGTAGAGGTGGATGTTTTAACTTTGGTCTCCAGTGGGCCGGTAATCTTGTTCTTTTATTTCCCCAGGCTCTGTTTGTTTTATGTATGCCTCATATGCTAATGCTCCCTCTGTAAAGTGCCTGTCTATGTAGATGGAAAAGCATCCACTCATGGTTACACATTGAATCCGTAACTTGGTCTTTAACCAAGTTTACACAGTAGATATTAGAGGAAGGAAAGGTAGAAAGAATGAGAATGAAAGAGAGTGGTGGTGAATGGATTCATGTGGTGGGACGGGAGTCAGATAGATTTGGAGCTGAACATTTCTGTATTCCCAAACTGTGGGAACTGTGTAAGACGTTGGACCCCTCTAAGCTTTGGTTTCCTTATTTGTAAAATGGGCAGAGTTATGTCTGCCTCGCAGTGCTGTTGTGATAATTAAATGATGAAATGGCTATAAACTTCTTGGCACAAGACACAAATGTGGAGTAGAGAGGAGTGAGTACAACAATTTGCAGCAGTAGTTTTATTTTAGTGGTACCAGCTGCACGATCTGCCTCCTCCCCATCCAGATGTCAGCATCTGAGGGGGCTCTCAGGTGTTTACTGGATCACTGGAGCATGAAGTTGTGCCAAACATGTCTGCCCATAGAGCTGTGTAGAGAATAGACTGTGGGCTATTCCAGCTTCCTAGTGACCCTGGGCAAATAATTACCCTGAGCCACAATTTAGAAAGCAGTGATAACATCTTGTGAAGCAGTCATTTCATTTATTTTCTATGTTAAATAACTAGAAAAACCAACAAAAAAAGATGAGCTTGGAGGCCTGGGCACAGGGTTAATATCTGTAGGAAGTAAAAAGTTTCCTCTTCAAAGTTTCCCTTCTTGTTAAAGGAAAATAATAATAATAATAATAAACATTAGAAATAATTTCTTTTAAAGACTAACTTCCTTTAAGCCTCCTTGCTTTGTGCTAATAACTCTTTGTTAAGCCCTATTCTATGTAGCTGTTAGATATAAAGGAATAAGTACATTCTGTGTCCTTGTACTTTAACCAAGTTATTTGTGCTGAACATGCTCACAGGCATGTTGCAGCTCACAGCGTATGACCCTTCCTTATTTGGAAATATTATTACTTTCTAAGTCCTTTCACAAGCGACTTCCTCTTTTCCTTTGTTCTCTATTGCCTATACCTATTTAGAAAAGTTTTCAATTATTAGCCAGTCGAGTTTTAGCTTAGATTGTGAGGTCTGGTTCCAGTCAATGGAGAGAGACACAGTAGTCGGGACAAGTTGCGTAAGAGATACAAATTGCTTCCCTCCATTGTTCAGGTGTGCTCTTGCCATTGTTTCATCTGCGAGGAGCACTCTTTCTGCAGAAAGTAAAATTGCCTTGCTGTGAAAACTTCTGGTCTGAATGCTGATTTTTCCTTGCAATACCGAGGAACAAGCATTCTGTTTCTGAATAAACATTTTACATATAACAATATCTTTGTTTTTGAAACTTCTTTCTTTTTCCCTTTTCTTTTCTCTCTTCCTATTTTTCTTTTCTTTTCACTCTTGACCTCTTTTATGATGACCGTTTCCTCCATTGAGGTGCAAATTGATTTTTCATTTTCTCCTTATTTCAAAATTTATTCACATTACAGAATATGGTATATGTCTTTCACACTGTAGTTAGAATTATTCAGTATTTCCATGAGTCATTTTCCAGAAGGGAATGTATAGCAAAAGGAGAATATTTTATGGCTTAAATTATTAAATTATTATAGTGAGTAATGTGGAATCAAAATTCCTCACTCAGCAGGCATGTCCTTTGAGAGGGATATAATAAACCACTCACGTTAACTATGCTTTTTAGCTCTGTGGAAGGCGTCCGCTGAGAGAGCAGCTAGAAAGTCAAGCAGCGTGAAGGCAAAGGCAGGTGGTTGTGGAGGGTCACCCTAAAGTCTGTTGTCAGGAGGTTGTATATGATATGAAGGTTCTCTCCAGGGGTCAGAAGAATCTTGTATATCAAAAAAACACACTGAATAGGGCATATCAAGGAGGACAATTCTTTTTTATGGTCTAATGGGAATGGTAAAAGTAGGAGAGAGAGAAGAGGCTACAAACATTGTAATACAGATCATCCCCAATTAGTATTCACAAAGTTTGTTCTAATTCAGTTGTATATTTCCTCAATCACACTAAATCATGGAAGCAGTCTTTCTTGGAAATGGAAGGCATTTCAGCCCAGCTTCTCATCCCAATAGGAGTCCCTCTTACAAGCATCCAGGTGACTCACCATTTAGCCTTTGCTTGGATGCTTTCTTCAATGGGAAACCCACACCTTTTTAAGGCAGCTCATTGGGATTTGTTTCCAAGGTCAGTGGGGGAAAAACAATCCAGATATTTAGCGTGTAGTGTACCTGGTGATTGTTGTACTATTTTGCCTACATCTTGTCTTTTATTCGTGATAGTTCTATGGGAAATGCCTATTCCTGGTATACCAGGAACTCTCTTGTTCTTCTCTTGACCCTCGTCCCTAAGTTACAACAATAACTTAATCTCCCACTATAATTTGTTTACCCAGAAACAGAAAATAAGTTTTTTGGGATGGGGGTGAAATGAGACAGAGTCATTACCAGTAAATTTGACTCCTGGAGCACAAAATACAGACTTTGCCATTAAATCAACTTTTGCATCAAGGTGTGGCTCACAGTTGAGTGTTAGAAACAGTGTGTTTCATCTAGTGGTTTTCTATTGTGACACTCTGGATTGCTTACTCAGTGCTCTATTTTGAAACCATTATGTGATTTTAAAAAATTTCTTCAGGCTGGGCGCGGTGGCTCATGCCTGTAATCCCACTTTGGGAGGCTGAGGTAGGTGGATCTCTTGAGGTCAGGAGTTTGAGACCAGCCTGACCAACATGGCGAAACCCCATCCCCACTAAAAATACAAAAATTAGCCAGGCGTGGTAGTGCATGCTTGTAATCCCAGCTACTAGGGAGGCTGAGGCAGGAGAATTGCTTGAACCCAGGGAGTGGAGGTTGCAGTGAGCCAAGATCATGCCACTGCACTCCAGCCTGGGTGGCAGAGCGAGACTCAATCTCAAAGGAAAAAAAAATTTCTTCAATTCAAGTGTCTGGATGCAAAATCCTATGACCATGAACTAGTGACACTCTGGGTTAAGGAACAGGTGGAGGCTCCCACGTCCCCAAAGCTTAAGCCTCCTCAGTCCAGACTGACAGGGCTGGGGAGGGGACTCCTCTCCCCGGTGATTCAAATTGAAGAAAAGACAGGTGATCCCGTAAGGTCAAGGTTTGGAATTTACATTCTGCCAACACTCTTCAAATGCAGGGGTGACTTTATAATGAAATCGGGCAGAAACTCCTGCTAGGGTAATAACAGTTGGGTGTGAGCCTGGTCTGAGAGCCTAGTAGCGGGTAAGCGGAGAGTTTGAGGGTAACAGTCGATGGTCTTGCAGAGGGACGACTTACCTATGTTATCATAGGGAATTACGATGCTCCCAGAGTCGACCCACATTTTGGTATAGATAAGGAGGCACAGCGGCATCATTCCGAGGGCAAGCAGTGTGGAGCATGTGGTCATGCTGACGCTGAAAGGCAACGGGCAGATTGACACATCCACCTGTGTGTTCTAGGGAAGACGCTGTTTTATTTTTATTTTTTAATTTAACTTTTATTTTAAGTTGAGGGGTTACATGTGCACATTTGTTATATAGGTAAACTCGTGTCACGGGGTTTGTCATACAGATTATTTCATTGCCTAGATATTAAGCCTGGTACCCATTAGTTATGTTTTCTGATCCTCTCCCTCCTCCCGTCCTTTACCCTCTGATAGGCCCCAGTGTGTGTTGTTCCCCTCTGTGTGTCCATGTGTTCTCATCGTTTAGCTCCCACTTGTAAGTCAGAACATGCTGTATTTGGTTTTCTGTCCTTGTGTTACTTTGCTAAGGATAATGGCCTCCAGCTCCACCCATGTTCCTGCAAAAGACACGATCTCGTCCATTTTTATGGCTGCATAGCATTTCATGGTGTGTATGTACCACATTTTCTTTATCCAGTCTACCATTGATGGGCATTTAGGTTGATTCTATGTGTATGCTATTGTAAATAGTGCTGCAATGGACATATGTGTGCATGTGTATTTAAAACAGAATGATTTGTATTCTTTTGGGTATATACCCAGTAATGGGATTGATGGGTTGAGTGGTATTTCTGTTTTTAGGTCTTTGAGGAATTGCCACAGTGCTTTCCACAATTGATGAACTAATTTATACTCCAACCAACAGAAGATAAGTGTTCCTTTTTCTCTGTAACCTTGACAGTATTTGTTAATTTTTGCCTTTTTAATAATAGCCATTCTGACTCATGTGATATGGCATCTCATTGTGGTTTTGATTTGCATTTCTCTAATGATCAGTGATGATGAACTTTTTTTCATATGATTGTTGGCTGCATGTGTGACTTCTTTTGAAAAGCGTCCGTTCCTGTCCTTTGCCCACATTTTAATGGGTTTGTTTGTTGTTTTGTTGGAATATAATTAAACTAAAGAGCTTCTGCACAGCAAAGGAAACTATCAACAGAGTAGACAAACAACCTCCAGAATGGGAGACAATTTTTATTTTCGATTCATGATAAGGAAGTCCTGCAAGAATCTGTCTCAACCTATAGCATCATCTGGTGTGATGAACAGAAATACACATGTGCTGGAGTGTATTCAGGGCCTGGCCTTGAGCACAATGGGCCATATTTGGTGTCTTTCCACTTTGCCTTCTGCCATCCTTCCCTTCCCTTTTATTCTTAAGGGTCAGAAACAGTATTAAACGATGGGTTAAAAGTCATCATTAAACAACGTATAAGGTTCGCTGGGTGTGCCATCCTTCAAACATTCAATCAAAGAAGAGCAAACACATTTGAAGCAGCCGACACCATCAGGGCTGCACGTGTCTGACCATGCTGAGATGGAACCGGCCTTCCTGGGCCCCTGGAATAGAATGCATGTCCAAGGGAGGAGGCCTCGGTATGTTGCCATAAAGCAGAGAAATTACTGCCCAAGTGACCCTAGCTTGAGAAAAGAAGAAGAAACTGACTTAAAAATCAAAAGAAAGCATGCAAGCAGGCAGGGTAGACCTGAATTCTTAGCACTGAGTAAGTCACTGACAATTTAGCAAATGTGTGTTCAGAAGAACTAGTGTCTGGTATCATCCCTGCTCAGAGCGTTTTATTTCAGTAAGAGGGTCTGGCTGAGTAGGCTTTCTACATGGAGAAATTAATGCCAAATCATGCTATCTCTAGTACTAAGACAGTGGGTCAAAGAAAGATTTCTGGGGAGTGAGTCTTCCTGGTCCTCTTCAAGGTGATCTGTACACAGCATACATTCTCTGCCTTTAAAGCCTGAGCTCTAAAGCCACACAGTGTCTGGGCTGAAAGCAGGCAGTGCCGCGTCACTTAGTATGTTCATTTGAGTAATTTAGTTGACTTCTCTTTACCAGTTTCTTTATTTAAAATGGCTGTAAGGATAGGATGAGCCAACGGTGTCCAGCACTTAGAACAACGCAAAGCACTCTATTAAGAGCTGGTTGCTACTACCATTTTTTTTTTTTTTTTAAATAGGGTCTATCTCTGTCACCCAGGCTGGAGTACAGGGTCACTATCTTGGCTCACTGAAGCCCGGGCTCAAGTGATCTTTGCACCTCAGCCTCCCGAGTAGCTGGGATTATAGGCACGAGCCACCATGCCACGCTAATGTTTACGGTTTTTGTAGACATGGGGTTTCACTGTGTTGTTCAGCCTGGTCTCAAACTCCTGGGCTCAGGTGATCTGCTTGCCTAGGCCTTTCAAAGTGCTGGGATTACAGGCAGGAGCCTCTGCACCCTGCATCTCTCTGCTGTGATCATTTATGTTACTATGTTTGTGATATTTTGTGTTCCACCAAATAGAATCAGGAAACTTAGAGAAATGAGAAATTTCTCTGAAAGGTCCTTCTCCCAACAGGTCATCATTGAGGTTGTCAAGAGTAGTAATTTCTTAAGGGTATTATGTGTGTACTTGAAAGAAAATGCTAAATATTTATATTACCTGCCCCCCAAAACAACAACAACAACAACGACAACGACAACAACAACAACACACTATACTAAGAAAGGAGCTAACAATGAGAAATTTCGTTTCAAGGCTTGTAGATAAATTTACACAGTTTGGCAAAACGCAGGGTGGAACAAAGTTCATCAGAGAGCTTAACTTCTCTAATAATATATTTATTTTTAACCAGAATGGCCTCATTTAAAATAGGTTTAAATAATTTGGATAAAAATACTTGTTTTAGTAGAGCTAAAATGTTATAACAGTAACAAATGCTGTGGATGTATTTAAAACTCTGAGCAGTTCAATCTATTCTGGTTATAGGTTAACTTAATTTAGGTATAAAATAGATGCTAAGGCAGAATTGTACACCAGACAAACAAGTTAATTTGTTATTAACAGTACTTTGTCCTACTTATAATGAAAGTACTAGAGTTTGAAGGTGATTTTTTTCTCTCTTCCTTCCTCCCTTCTCTCAGTGTTCTCTTTTTTATCTTTTATTTTAAAAAATATATTAGAATGGATTTAAAGTTGTCCCTATAATAAAATCACTTTTGTTTCTGTGCATCCAATGTTTTTTTCTAGAGTGTGGTGGGAGTCTGGTGGGGAAGTGAGGAGGGTTTATTAACTGGATCCCAGTGAAAAGAAGTCTGAGAATTTTTGTTTTAAAATGTGAGAAAATGTTAAAGAAGGAAGTCTTTTTCTGTCTTTGGTTTTCTTTGGAAGATCCTTGACAAACCTTTAATTCTGAATATTGCTACAACAATCTATGATGTTGTATCATAATTTTGAGTTTGTTGAGAGCAGTTTCTTAAGGATTGTGATGAGGGACAAAAGAGGATTGGGAGAAGGAAAGGTTTAGACTTGTGAGCAGCCTTGATGAAGAGACCTTGCAGATGAACAGACGAATAGGTGGCTGGAAGTTGATGCTATTTGAATGAATAGAAGAATAAAATCAAATCACTCAAAATGAGATTCAAAACAATTCACAGATAATGAATTTTAAGAAGTAATATAGGAGCCTAAATTAGCAAAAGAAAATATCGTCTTACACAAAAAAATCTGAAGTTCTATAAAAGGCATGGATATAAAAAATACATATACTACCTTGAATTTATATTAGAATGAGAGAAAAAAGTAAAGTATAAGGAAAAAAAAAAAAAACCACTTGGCCTTAATTTTGACTTGCCAGGGAGATTTTCTTTCGCGTGTATGGAAATAAAAGAAAGAATCAATATAAATTTAGTGAATGTTGAGGAATTCAGTGAAATCAGTGTTAAGCAATGTAAAAGACTGTAATCATATTAGAAGTAAAATGCCAAGTGTGAAGGATCTAACGTAGTGTATATAGGCAGTGCTAGAAATTGGAGAAATGAAAAGTGATGGAAAGAGTGTAGAGAAAGCTTATGAGCCTGCATAGGGGTTGTGGGTAGATCTGAATGATTCCAATTCTGATTCAGGCATACATTGACTCAATGACCTTGGTCAAGGTTATGAATCTTAACTTTATTATCTGCCAAATGCAGAAAATAATAGTACTAACTCTAGAGGATTCTTGGGAGGATGAAATACACCAACGTATTTTGAGTACTTAGCACTGTGCATGGCATGTACTAGTGTTTAATAAATATTAGCTAGTAAAATAAACGCTACTGGAGAGAAACAATTTTTGGTTACTTTGAGGGAGAATAAAGGAAAAAGCCAAATGGTTTTGGGTTAGGTCTCCCAGAGTAGACAGGAGACATTTAGGGGTTGACATAGGAAGGATTTATTGCTGTGAATTTGTGATTAGCCAGAGGGTCAGGTTTCTTGAATATCTAAAATATCAGTGAATGCTACACTGGAAGCTGAAAAATCTAACAGCATTTGGCCAAAGAACAAAGGATGTGGTAAGAAAGTCTATAAAATCATAAAAAGGAATGTAGAAAGTAGGTGGCAGGGAAGGAATTGGGGGCAACTGGGAGAAGGATGCATAAGAATGGATTCCCCAAAGAGGAAGCCAAAGAAAGGAAATGAGAAGTCCTTGCATGATGTGGCTGAGGCCATTAAGAAGGATGAAGACACCGGATATTTGCCTGCATCTGGGTAGAGAGCAGACACAAAGGACATAAGAGGTTTCTGTGTCCCCTCAACTATGGGTTTTAGCCACCAGCAGATTCACCTGAAATGTCACCTTCTTTTCTCCCTGATGTTTTTGTGCATGTGATGTCCATGGCACAGCTGTAACTTAGGTGAAAATATATGTGCACCAATCAGATTCACAAACAACTTTCCAGGCTGGGAGTGGTCAGAGAAGGAGCTGAAATAGTACGTGCTGAATTCCAATGATCAAGGATTATTGTCTATGATTTTTTATTTTTCAAAGTCACCAGAGATTGCAAAATGCAGTGGCTTTCCAGGTTCATAAGAGATGATCGGGTGAGAGGGAAATGTTTTGGTTTCTTCTCCCAAGAACCATATCCAAAAGAGTTAAAATCAGGTGGAATGGTTTTGCTGGCATTGTATGGCATTAGCTCAATTAGTGGAGCTGCCTGTTAATATCAACAGTCATGTCTTCTTGCCATTGCTAGAGTTCAAGTGGAGATGGAGAAGGTAAAATTCTAAGCATACACAATTGGAAATATAAATGTTAGATAGGATTGTATCTAAATAAATTATCAGAAGTCTTTAGTTTATCCAATTCTTAATCCAGAAGAATAAAAAGTTTTGGAAAACTGTTACCCAATAACTCAGGTTCTACTCTTTTAATTAATTTGTATTAAAGAAATATTGGAATATTGTTTTCCTAACACACAATGCATAATATCATTATCTTACATAGCAGTATAATTTAACCTCTTCTCAATGATTAAGACCCATCCTGACAAACATGATTATCGGTTATTCTAAAATACAGTGACAACTTCTTGTGTTTGTAGAATAAGTGATACAGAGACCAGAGACTAGAATAAGTGCTACAGAAACCAGAGAGAATAATTGATATTAAGAGAGAATATGTGATAGAGAGATTAAGCGATAGAGAATAAGCGATAGAGAGATGGCTGTGTGTTGTCAGTGTCTGCTTTGCTTTGTAGGTATTTTGATCTGCTCTTTTGCCCTTCCTAACACTCTGCTTCCTTCCCTGCTTCTCATTTCTGGAAAATAGCACAACAGAGATTTAGAATAAAAATAGTTATGTAGGTCCTGCATGAGAAGCGTTTATGAGATTAAGTGAAATTTATTTTGGGTGTGCAGTGTCTTTTATTGGGTCTTGTTGAGCTCTGGATACGTGAGGTTGCTCCATTTTGCGTTATAGGGCTTATTCTGACTTGCTGGAAGAATTCATTTGCACGGATTTAGCTGGAGGTTTCTACCAAGGCTTCATATTCTACTTTTAGTTCTTATTGAAAAAATGATTTATAGGAATTGTTATGATAGGTAGACAGGATTACATAATCATCTCCTGTTTCAGGAGAAATAAGATTTCCTTAAAACCACAGAAAAATGTAACTTGGAGCTTTTAGGTTAGATCTTACTGTTTTTAGCTGCCAGAAGAGAATTCATTTCAACAACCTAATAGTCCAGCACCACACACATTTTTTTCTGTCTTATAAAAGGGTTCCATGTGTGGCATTACATTGAGGTACAAAACTCCTCTGCATTAAAAGTTACAAATATTATGAGAAAGCTGTTTATTGGAGGTCAAGGCCCATTGTTCCATGTAGCTCACTTTTCTCAGTGTAATAGTTGCTGGCATTTACAATTCTCACTTCTGTGTATCAGCGTCCAGGTCAAACCAAATCGAAGTCTAAAAAGACCTTATTGCTATATTGTGGTTCACAGATTAACTAAATCTGAATAGCACTTGCCATCCTTTGTTGTTTTATAGGGCTTTCCTTAAATTAAAAAAAAAAAAAAAAAAAGCAATTACATGGTGGATATCATGTGCTTTCTTATGTAAAAGACTAAGCCATGTGAAGGTATAGGGTTTGTATGACTTTTCCAAAGCTTCTGGAGAAACCTGCACCAGTTGAAATGAGACAGCAGGTTCCTAATTGCTCACTGGGTACTCTATCAATCCAGTGGCTACATTTCTACACTTTGTGCTTCTCTCCTCTGCCTGTAGTAGCCGGGGATGAACAGAGCTAATTGCCTACTGTACAGTATTTAATAAGCACACGTTGCGTTAGCACCTGGATGGTTTGCAGAAGGAAATGCATACCTTTCAAGGGAAATGAGGAATTATGAGCTAAGAAAAAAGACATTTGTCTATTCAACTTTCAGCATTAAATTTCTCAGTCTCATCACTTTAATGCTTCATCTTATTTCTATTAGTTTTTTTTTTTTTTTTCCATCCAGTGCTAGTTCAGACTGGCACAGGATGATTGGGCAAACATTGCAATTTAGATTACTTTGTGGGAAGTGGCGAAACCATTTTCTGTTTATTTCATAGTAAGGTAAGCATAATTTTTTAAAAAGCTGCCGTAGGCTTTTCCCCCACTTTTAATGCCAGTAGAGGTGAAACAAATATATGAACTCTTCCTTAGGTTTTATACCAGGAAAATGTTTGTCCAAAGAACTGGCTATATTTGATGGAGTGGATCACTGTCTCACTAGAGGTTCTAATGTTTGACAAACAGTTTTATTTTCTGATTGCACCCAGAGCTCCTCATCATTACAAAGAAAGTGTATTTTTCTTTTTCTTTTTTTTCCCTGCTACCAACAGGATAAACCTCCTCAGCTGCAGCTTGTGGTTTGGAAAAGATTACTTTTTAAAAAAAGCTTTGAATCTTTTCCTAGAGATCAACAGCAATTATGCAACTCCCTGTTAACTGAGTTAGATTTAAAAACGCAAACACAAAATATAAATCCCCCAATTCAAATAGCTAAACAGCTGTGCTAGAAGGCATGTGAATGCATTTATTCTGTCCTGTTTAATTCCTTAGTCATACTTTAGATGGGTAGCAAATCAGTTGGACATTCAGTATGCCATAGGCTTCTGGAAGGATTACTCCAAGGTGATTGAGTAGTTAGAGGTTTAGATAGATAATCTTACCTCAGGTCCATGTCGCCATCGACCCAATAGGCCAAGATATTGGAGGAAGTTCCTCCAGGGCAGCATCCCATAATGAGCACCACCACGGCCTGGATGGGGAGGATGTCAAAGGCCACAGACAGGACGAATCCTGTGAGGGGCATGATTCCAAACTGACAGAGGAAGCCAACACAAATGCCCCACGGCCGCTTTATGTGCCCTAGAAATTTCTTGATTTCCACGTTGCATCCCATGGAGAACATCACCAAGGCCAACAGGATGGTCAGCACCGTACTTAGGACCACACTTAGGGTGTTATTGAAATTGCTGTCAGGTACCACACAGGATGCACCAGAGCAAACTGTTGCATTGTCCACACAGCTGTTCGGATCATTCATTGCTGGGTCTGCTGCTCAAAAGGCCAAGTCCACAGAAGCGCTGGTCCCTGGGCCCTGGCTCTGCTGCCAGTTGAGATAAGCAACGTTTACTTCTACCCCATCAAACTTTTAAACCCCTTCTAAAAATATGTCACTTGGTGTCTCTTTTGAAAGCCACCTTAGGGAAGTAATAAAAAACAATAAATGCTAGGATGTCAGTTTCAAGAGGTAGCATTACAACACAGAGCACGTTGTGAATCATAAAAGCCCGGCAAAATTATTGGTCAAGACAGAGAGTTACGATTAATCATTTATTGGCATGATAATGAACCATGCCATATAAAAAGAGCTGCGTTAATGTTTAATGCCACGAAGGTTTGTTGGATAATTTCAGTTAAGTGACACTTAAAATCAACTCGGAATAGTACCGAATCTTATAGGGATTGAACCATAGGAACCAAGCCATATAAAAAGAGCCGTGTTAATGTTTAATGACATGAAGGTTTGTTGGATAATTTCAGTTAAGTGACACTTAAAATCAACTCTGAATAGTACAGAATCTTGGAGCGACTGAGCCATAGGAACACATATTGTTCCCTCATTTCCCTTTCAATAGAAGGGTTTAGGGTCCAGAATAGTTGAGTGCCCTGTGCCAAATTATGTTGCAAATTAGGTGTCAGACTCTGAACTGGGACCCAGGTCTCCATCTAGTTTCCTCTCCCAATAGTTTTGCTACTGTATCAGTGTTTCCTGGAATTGCTCTATAGTGTCCATAAAGCATATGGAAGTTTAAGAAACTTCTAGCGTCTTGGTGCAAATCTGAGAGAGTAACATTTGGGAAGAGAGAATGTTTTCTGGTGGAAAGGAGTCTGACTTGTACAGCCACCCTCAACCACTTACACATGCAATTATGTGTGTGTTGTCATAGTAACAGAGTGCTTTATAGATGGAGACAATACAATTATTTAGAGGGATGAACCTCAGAGAATTAGGTCAAAGTGACAGGATCTCTTTGTGCTTAGAGTCATAAATTGAAATTCGATCTTTTTTTTTTTTTTTTTTGGCAGGGGGATTCCAAGGGACATTTTTGTAAATGTCAAATAGTCGACCTCATTATGGGCAGAATGGTATATTTCAGTACATAGGGAAGATAAAGAAAGAGGTAGAGAAGAGATTGTCCTGTTTTCAGGAGTGTATAACCCAGTTATTGAGTCAGGACACAGAGTAATAAGAAAATTGAATATTCCAATCATGATGCACAATTTGTAGGACACATTCTAGTTTAATATTCAACTTAATCATCTTAAATTAAGCAGGATTATCTCTCCCATTTTACAGATGAGGACTTAAGGGTTGAGGAAATTGAGTGCTTTAAATAAGGTTAAAGGGAAATGAGAGAACAACGTGCTTTCCTATGGCTGGTATCTGGAGTGCTGGAACCGAGCGTTCTGATTATGCGAAGAAAAGGATCGGTTTGGCTTGCTGGGGATTGGAGTAATATCTTAGAACAGAGCTTCTCAAAACTCAGTGTGAACAGGATTCCCTGGGGGGCCTTGTTAAAATGCAGATTCTGATTCTGGAAGTCTAGGGCAAGTTTTCTTTCTAGCAAGCTTGTAGTTGATGGCAATGACACTGATCTGTGCTCACACTTTTAGTATCATGGCCTCAGGATATCAGGGTGACAACAGTTGTACCCATATTGGTGACAACGGAACTTACTGGTCACGACTGAAAGCAGCTTTTGCAGAGAAACTCAGTATGGGAAAATTAACCTTTTTCATAACTTGAGTAAATGTGAGCCGTGGCTAGCAGAACGGGCCACTGAGCAGAAGAGCTAATAGAGCGAAATGTCCAAACCACTGGTGGGGGTGCCTAGGCATTGAGCTACTGGGAAAAACCTGAGCCATTTCCTTCCAGGGCAATGGCGATTTGTACTTGTTGATGTGGTTCCCAGCCCAGGAGAGAATCTCTGAGCTATCAAGTCCTGCCTGCCTTTCTAGCACAAGTGGGCTGCCATTACTTCTGTCCTGGCTGCCTGCCAATTCCTGGGAGAGCCTTCTGTCTTTCCCACCTCCTCCCCACCCCAACAGCTAAATGATAAACCAGGTAATTCCCAAAGAGGCCTCCCCTCCCACTCCTAGGTGTATCATGACTTGGCCCTACCCTGCTGGCCGCTCCAAGCATTTCCTGAGACTGACCTCTGGCCTATTTCTGTCGGGAGCTGGCCCTCCCCAGGGCAGATGGGCCAAGTGCACTCCCTGCTGCCACACCTGAGCATCTGCACCTGGCCGCTCACACCTGGGCACCTGCACCCGAGCACCTGTGGCTGGCTCTTCCCCTGACTCCCAAAGCTGGGTGAGGCAGATGCCCATGCAGTGTTGATCAGTTTACAGTCTCTCTTTTCTACTCTCTCTTAACCTCAAACATTAGGTGAAAGGCAGAAAGCTAGCCTAGGATTGAACAGCAAATAGCCTCTTTACCAGGTCTGATCTGCAAAAGAAAATTTGAGCCCTGCAGAAGGGAAGGATTTGGATTCTGAAATTTCTTTTAAAGTTGGAAGGCTGCAGTGCAAGGCCCAATGCACAGGGCTCAAGACAAGCATATTTAGACACCCTCCTTTGAACTCAGATGGGTTTCCCAGGGCAGGCCTCCTGTTTTGGGCCATGGCTGTTGCTGGGTTGGCCAGGTGTAATCCATCCTTAGGCTTTTTGCCCACGGTGCTGGAAACAGGGAAGAAAAGTGAAGAGAGCAGAAAGCAGGTTCCCAACAAAGCTCTTCTCAAATTTCAGATGACTTGCTAAGGAGATTTTAGGCTCCCAGGGGCAGAATGCTTTGCATATAGACAACTTGCAAATGAGCAGTCTGTTCGACTAGACAGAGTGCTACAGTTCTGCTTAAAAAAAAGTGCCAGTGCATTTCTAATCTTCACAATGTTTTTACATAAATTTGCACATTCGGCTCGAGAGGTTTTATATTCAAGTATTGGAATGATTCACAATTAATTAGTACCCTTAACTTCAGCTATATTCAAATCCAGACACTGAAAGTATCTAAATGTATAAAAATAATTCTCTTTAATTGTAATACGGAACTGGGAACAGATGCCCACCTGAGAGGGGTAAGTCAGGAGGCTGGAGCTTCATTTTCATTGTCATCCTTCTCAGTCTTTTCTGCTACATTTTGTCACATCATGGGCTCACATGCAGGCCACCCTCAAAAAACCAGGAGGCGATTCCTGCTTCTGGCCGCCTGGGTGCTGACATGGGAATTGTGGTTTAATTTGACATCTGAGACTTCCCTTTGGTTCCTGTGTATCAATTTGAGGAGGCCAGGGTTTAATAGCTTTCCAGCATGTTTGCCCTGAAGTTCACGTGATAAAAGATGAGCTTCCTATCTTCTATTGCGTTTCATCAGAAATGGCTCTATTCAGGTCAATGACCCTCTGGGATCTGAGTGACTGTGTTAAGTACTTTCCTGTGACTGAAGTTATTTCCCTCTCTCTCCTCTCTAGTTCCTTGCTACAGATTGATCTTTTATAGAACCTGAAAGTCCCACAATGAGAGCTCTTTGGAGTTACCACTGACCCTCTTTAAGACAAAAAGTACCCTGGGGAGAATGCCCGTGAATGACTAGCTATTCATTCTTGAGTCTTTAGAGGAAAAAGACAGCACAGTATTGAGGAGAAGAAAGTAGGATAGAAGAACCTGGAATCCACTGGATGGAAAATGTACTAGGCTTGAAATCAGAACTGAGTTCTCGATCTGCTTCTTTTGAAAATACTGTGCAGACTATTCAGGTTTTTATGAATGAATGCAAATCCTTATTAAACGTCTGTAGCATGGTCCCACCACTTTGGAAAATGATTATAGCTAAATGTCCATAGGCCCTCTAACCCAGTCATTTCAGTCCTAGGTTTCAATCTAAAGAAATCTATAAATGAGGTTCCCCAAGAGACATGAACTAGAATGTTCACAGTGACTCCATTCATAACAGCGCCAAACTGGAAACTATCCAAATGTCCATGAAAGGTAGAATAGGTAAATATATTATGGTATATTCACACGATGGACTTCTATATATCAGCTGGATGAGTCATCTACTACCACAAATCTAATGTGGAGTGAAAGAAACCAGAAACTAAGGAACACATACAAAAACAGGAAAGTGAATCTATGGTGTTAGAAGTTAGGATAGTTGTCACCTTGGAAGTATGGAAGATCAGAGACTAGGAAGGGTCACGAGTACCAATACTTCAATATAAACAAAAACAAAACCAAAAGTCAACCTGACACATTTGATAAGAAGAGATCAGGGAGCAGTCTGTGCCCAGGTCTAGAGAAGGCAGAAAATGACACTGAACTTGAGCAGAATTCAGGAGAGAATAAGACAGGGAGTAGAGATGGGAGGAGAGGTTGGGGGATAGGGCTAGGAGGTGTGTAGGTGGATGGCTAGTTCACCTTCATCATTTTAGCAAGGGTTGGCTCTGTTAATTATCCTATGTCTCATTCATTTTGTTGTTGTTATCAATCAATCATTTTCTAAGTATCTGAAAACATTAAGTTCTCTGAACCTATAATTAAATACGTTTTGGTTAATCAGTCCTAGATAAACCTCCAAGCAAATCCTCTTCGTAGACAGCAACTTTTGCATGCTTTCTGGTTCACTAGAAACACGTAATCTTAAAGTAGAAAATTAATCGATGTATTTTGCTAACAGCTCCTGTTGTCCCTTGCAAGTATGACAAACATTTTGTTACTCACATTTTTGTCTTTGCTTTTATAACGCGAATGAATAGCAAATCCTGTAAATCCTTGACCTTGCGGTGGCTGATTGTATTACTGCTCTCAGTTAATTGCTTCCTACTTCTCTGTAATGGGATTCTATAGTCACAGCTGTTGAAATTGGCTTGCAGCGCTTCCCTGTTGAAGGAATAGCCAATTTTTTTTTTTTTTAATCTTTTTGTGCAGGGTGAGGGGACAGAGTCGTCCTCTGTCACCCAGATCGGAGTGCAGTGGTGTGATCACAGTTCACTGTAGCCTCCATTGCCC